TTTATCACACAACGACAATCCTTGTACAGACAGTAGACAGAACCGAACAAATTTCACTTCTGCAGTAAAATACTGCAAAAGTAAACTTTGACGTTATGTCATATATCATGTACAACAATTAAAGTTGTCGTTGTGTGATAAATCTTTGCTGCATATTCACTCATACATTGATGAATTATCTAGCCCAAATAAAAACTATCTATTAAAAGAGTTCAATGTTTCCGATGTGGCAAAACTGGTCACATACAGAGATGTTGCACAGATGAAAATATGAATAATAGAATGAATGGGTATTATTCAATAACTGATAATCAAATAGCACAATAGAACACCGGATGTTCAAAATAATACTATGATCGACAGATTAAAGGCGATAGCGTCGGAATCAGACTATACTCGAGAAAAGGAGGATACTCCATTATTGGTACATCAGCGCCTACCACAACGTACGTGAGCTAGAAATTACCAATTAATGCAGGAGCAGCCACGACAGAGATCGAACAATAGTAGTAAGGATCGTTCTGATACGAGAGTATTTGGACAAAATAACGGAAATATACGAAGAGCTCATTCCAGTAGAACATTCTATGGGAGAAATCAATATAATCAAAATAACCACATTATGAACCCCGAACATACGCACAGACATTCTAACATAAGTGTGACGGACGTACATACACACAGAGATATGAGCACGGTGTGACGGGCATACATACACACAGACATTTAAACGCTCTGTGAGGGATGCACATACACACAGGCATATGAGCACGGTGTGACGGATGTACATACACGCAGACATTTTTTTTTGTTTAATGTATACTAATGAGCGAGAGAAAGAGTTCAGCACTATTTAGCGTACTCACCACGTGGCTGGGGAGCTACCGGATTTAACTCTCTCTTTTGTATGATGTTAAAGAGAAAGGAAAACAATTTTTTATTGTAATTCTGTTAAAGAATTTTAACTTCTAAAAAAATTTTTTGGTGTTTATATTTGGAAATTGTAGAGCTTATACTTTATACAGATTTAAAGAGAACGACAGATCTGCTTGACAAGGGCCACATTAGGGCCGAAACCGGTCGCATATTTTTATACTACTGCTGTTCTCTATTTATTATCATTTATCGTGCGTGGATTACACGCATATATTGTATCGTCTCTCTTCATCTCATTCAATCATTTTATATTATCGTGTTTATCACTTTATTATCATTATTTTGTATTTTATCAAATTTTGATTAATGGATTCATTACAAATGGACACAGATTAGTACATGTTAGGTCAATGAATTGTGATATAAGCCAAAACAAGCTCAAGAATTGAACGTTAGTGACTACACGGTAAAAACTTTTATTATTTTTATATTGTGTGTATAATTTTGTGTTAATCTCTTCCCTATCTTTATCTTTCTTTCCTTCCTTAAACGCTGTATCAAAAAAATTTTTTATTTTTATTTGAATAGTTAATAGTATGATGGATAATGAATTTGTTCAATTAACTTGTAAATGATGGCTACATCTAGCGTTTGAGAAAGTAAAAGGAAATGATGAATATGTTCAACAGGCTTGGGGGGCCTTCATTCTAGAGTTGAACAAGCCTACAGCCGACACATTCGAGAAATTTTCGAAATTAATAGATGAGAGATTTGAATATAGCACGATTTATAGATTACTCATTTTGTTGAATGACGAAGCGATAAAACATTCTCTGAACTAGTTGGATATGGATGAATTGGTGTTGGTCAAGGGTCGACGAGTATTATAGATACCAGTACAATAAGCGCAATTACTTTACGGTCTAGCCAGCCGATGGAACTCCCGCATGGATCTAATGAAATTGTGATAAATAGTACTACTGATCTGGTATCGAATGCTCAGTATAATAATGATTCTGAGCCTACTATATTTTCGGATTCTCGAGCGAGAGAATCTAATGTGATTACAACTACTACAGCGAACACACACCTAGTGTCATCTGTTTCACTCGTGTCTTCTTCTCTATCGAAATTAGAAGTAGCATGTCAAACGGATGTTAGTTTTGACTGCTCACCGAGTACGGCTTGGGCTCCATTACAAGAAGATTTACTAGAAAACTTTAGAGTTTTTCATGAATGGTGGCTCAAGACTGCCTGTAGAGCTGAAGTACATAATAATAAATTATGTAAAAGAGTATTTTGTGAAATAGACCACGGACACTCAGTATCAGGTTGCAAACTTTGCACTGGTATATGTCATTCGATGATCACTCAAACCAGTTTAACCGCGGTGCAAATGAAGGAAGACTTACTCGGGAAATACCAAACGGAGTACAATCGTTTTTACCGCTTTCGTAATCATTTAGCTCTAAATAGTTACTACGTTGAAAATAATATTTTTCCTAAATCGCTATAGTTTGACATCCCCTGTCAGACATTTGGAACAAATGATCCAAAATTGAAAGAGCGGTGGAACAATATTATTTTGGAAACTAAACGAGAACTTTTACGTTGTGAGGCGGAGTCTATTATACAAACAGTAGAATCATCTGAATCAAAAATCCTAGAAATTATGGACAAATTACTCAAAATGAATAAAGGGGACGAATTACTACAGATAGAATGAGAGGAAAGCTTGAAACTAAAGGAGGTGATAGAGAACTCCTGGAATAAAGTTTTTCGTCTAGAAGAGCGGGAAATGATTCCTCGTTCTACAACTACGCATGATTCTCCGGATCGGAATGAGTCACCTTCTGTCATGGTGGTAGGCTCTGGTAAACTCGTGTATAGTGAGGTATCAAACAAATATCAAAGTAAAACCAGGAATAATAATTCTCCCTCACCTCCAACTTGCTATGAATGCGGGAATCCCGGTGACATTAAACGATTCTGTCGTGCTCGTTGTTCACTTTGTAAGGGTGGAAAACACTCTGAAGAATTTTGCTCGCAGAAAACTAATTCTTCCCGAATGAATAGTGAACAACATAGTGTATCGACCGCTAGGGATCAAGCTATGTATGATCAACTAAAGAAAATAGCTGAAACACCTAGCGCTGTGACACCACTATTAGATACAGAGCCAGAACATAAACAATTGTCTCAAAGAATGAGAGATATGAAAACTCAAAATAATCATTCTAAAATAGGTTTCTATTCACGCCCATTTATTCGCCGTAACGTTTGGCGAAATAACTCTAATGAAAGGTCTAACGTCAATCCATCGGAGTATCTAATCATACTACCTCTGCTAATTATGCGAAGAGGAACTCATTCGTAACTAATAGAACTGTCACCTGGGACACTGATACTGCTCCGATCGGGAGTAGTACGGATTCCAACTGACTTTCTTTTTTAGCATACAGTGAACCATGCAGATTGTCGGAGTTTGTCTTTAGTATAGGCCGTGTGTATGTAGATACGCATGAACTGAAAGTTTTACAATATGGGCTGAAGTATATTCCTGAAGGTCGTATTACTTGTTCCAAATTTCATAGCGTGTATCGTATAAACCTGATCGAAGAATGGAGGTGTGGAACTAAACGTTCCATCCATAAAAATGGTGGGGCTATCAAATAACAATTCCAGTTGGGTAACACTGCCGACGGGTAGCATCCGTTTTCTTCGACGAATCAATGTGTCGGAAAATAAAAAATTTTCACTTTTTGGTGTTACTTGATAAGCATCAGGGATATCAAACGTAGATGAAGTCGGCAGAACGGGTGTTATTTGACGTCGCGCTTGTGCCAGTCCAGCCTCTAAAATAGGAAGTATGCTCTTGAAAACTGTCTTTAAGAGCAAGTAATCGGACTTACGTATTTCACGCGCCATTGGTATAGTTTCTAGAGCCTGTGTTGAAAGTTGCGATTTGACACCTCTTCTTCGTATATTTTCATTATTGGTGTGGTTTCGAGTATAACACGTTGTTTCACATTTTTACGAAACATTTTTATTTCAAGATCTTCTGGATCAGATAGATGAGTGTGATCTCCACTAGTTTTTAAAAAAATGTTCTGAATATCGGTGTGTACAGAGACTTTGCATCCATTATTTTGACAAACCCAGTATTTTTTAGATACTGTTTCTTTGTTCATTTTGTATATGAAGTTATCAATCACCAAGAGGGGCTTGCCTTTGTTCGAGATGAGAAAAGACAGACTGCATGATGACATGGATGATCTAGAACAAATAAACCATCAACATCTCAACATCGTTACTGATGAGAGGTTTGAAATGAACAGGCACAGCTCTCAACATCTAAAACCAAAGTATGATAACACTGTGAGAACTAAATGTGTCCAAGCACGTACGCATTTAAGAGGAAAAGAAAAATTATTCAAAGAGAGAAAACACATCAGGATCCAGATATTTCTTTTTTCTTCTTCTTTTGTTGTAAGAAAAGATATATCTGGATCTCGACGTATTTTCTCTCTCTCAACAATTTTTCTTTTCTTCTTCGATTTTTCTTTTTCTCTTAAACGCGTTCTTGCTCGGACACACTTAGTCACATTGTTGTCTTGATAATCATGATCTAGTCATCAAACGTCGAATAAAAAAAATTACTTGAAGCAGCCCTAAACTACAACTTAAATTTTTTCGACTTTTTTATGCAATCGACATTTGCTTTTTCGGCGTAAAGACTTTTCGATATTCTCTTTTCGACATTTTTCTTTCGGCATTTTCTTTTCAACATTTTAGTATGATCGGCATTTTTCCGTTCGACATCTTGTTTTCGGTGTTTCTTCTTTCGATATTTTTGCTTTCTATCAAATCAATACCATTCAGTAAAGAAGTTTATGAAGAAAAAGCGAACAGAATGTACTGAGTAATGTCGAAAAGAAAAATGTTGAGAGTAGAAATGTCGAAAACCAAAAATGCCGAAAGAAAAAATGTCGAAAAGTTCGAAGGCGGCAAGGGTAAAATCTTAGTAGAGTTGTTGTTGTAAAAATGGTCGAATGAAAATTGACCGACCTGACAAATAATCAAAGAACATGAGGCTCAACTTTTAATCATAATAATTACATGTACAATAAAAGAATTTCCCATAGAACATAAAAGAACAGTTTAAAAAATAGAATATAACAGAGACAAATTATAAATAACTTTCCTCTACAACAAAAAACAACAGTTATAAAGAATAGAAGTTAAGATAATAAACCTTAATTATTAGACTAATTGATAAAAGAAATGACAAGAGTATACGCATGGATATCAAGTTTACTAAATACTGTGATATATCATATTTTTAACACTCATTCATACTCTTATAAAACGATATATAAACTATTATGGCCACTACAATATCATTTATTACAAGTAATAAAGGTAAACCATTATTAATTCGTGATAATTACATTTATTATGTTAGTAAAACAACAGCTACAGTTAAATATTGGAAATGCGAAGATCGTAGTTGCAATGCCGGTGTTCATACAAATATTCAGGATGCATTTATAAAAATAGTTGGTAATCATTCACATTTACAATCACCTGAAGAAATTGAAGTGCGTACATTTAAACAAAATATAAAACGTAGAGTTATAAATGAAATAACAGTAATAACTAAAATTTATGATGAAGAACTTGCTCGGCAACCAATGTCACAAACAGCAGCTGCAAGTTGTATCATTGTATTTCTGATAGGGGGTGTTGAAGAATTTATCTACTTGGCATCGTCATTCCATCATCATATGAAGCAAGTATGTATGCATTTTTATATTCGTCTTTATCAGAATTTTCTGAATTACTGAATTACTAAATTAATTTCAGATTCAGGTTTAAATCGTGCACGTAGAAAAATGACACCAATATTACCAAAGTCATATGTATTTAATATACCAGCGCAATATCAGGTTACACTTGGTGACGAACAGTTTTTATTATGTGATAAAACATTACATACTAAACGTTTATTATTATTTGGTACAGATTAACAATTAACATTTCTATTTTCTGCCAAACATATTATGATGAATGGTACATTTGATACATGTCGACCCTATTTTTATCAGGTTTATACTATCCATGCTATGAAACATGAAAAAGGTACGAGAACTTTTCCTAGTGAAGTTTTTATTAACTACTCATTTTTTATTAATATTTTTTTAAGGTTATCCATGTGTCATTGGTTTATTATGTGATCGTAAAGCTCGTACTTATACACAATTATTTTGTGAATTGAAACATCATGCTACTCGTTTAAAAACAATATTTAATCCAAATACAATAACAAGTGATTTCGAAAAAGCTTTAATCAAAGCTGTTGCTGGTGAAGTGAGAGTTTTTACTTAACTACCTAACGCAGTAGAAATACACGATTTTTTCAACCTCGTTTTAGTTTCCACAAGCACAACATGCCAGCTGTTATTTTCATTTTACACAGGCTCTCTATCGTAATATACAAAACCTTGGTTTAACAACGGCTTATCGCGATACTGAAAGTACAAGAATTGTATGTCGAAAATTAATGGCATTACCATTATTACAATTAAATGATATTGAATTGGCATTTGAAGATTTAAAAGATGATTCACCTGTTACATTACGCGATTTATTTAAGTATTTTGAAAATTTTTGGATGACAGGCATACCACTTCATCTTTGGAATGTATCTGATCTTCAAATTCGAAGAAATAATAATTGTGAAGGTATTTATACACACTTGCTTAAGCACTACTAACACAACTCTTTCAACAAAACTGCAGAAAAAATTCTAATCTCCGGCTAACTTTTCTTACGTTTATTAAAACATTCTCTCTCGGTCTCTAGGTTGGCACAATAGATTCAACATTCGTGTGAATAAACATCATCCAAATATATGGCATTTTATCAATTGTTTAAAACAAGAAGAAGTCTATTTTCGTCATCAAGTAATACAAATACGAGCTGGTGCAACTGGAAGACAAAAAACAAAAAAGACAAATTGCGTGCAACGTCGTATTGATACTCTTGGTGATCGTCATGAAAACGATGAAATAACTTTAGAAGAATATTTAGAAGGTTTATCATTTGTTGTTGCTAAAGATAAAACAAAAAAAATAAATAAAAAATGATTGATTGATTGTTATATATTTTTGTTAAATTACTGTTTATGTAAAATGATAAAAAAAATAGTTTCGCACATTTTCCCTTTCCCCAACAACATTAACACTACTAAGATCTTACACTTGCCATTTTCGAACTTTTCGACCTTTTTCTTTTCGACATTACTCAGGCATACCAGCGAACACACTCTTACGTGATACACGTAATTACATATGTTTATCGAAGAACCCGTTATGGACAACATATAAAAATGCGAAAGATAAATTTAATGAGCTCATCTCCCAAGGACATATTCGTACTAAATTCTCGTCTAAAATTCGCCATCATGGTTTACCAAAACTACCAAATTTTTATATTCTCCCAAAAGTACAGAAAAAGGGTTGCCCTGGTAGGCCGATCGTATCGGGTATTGGCCATTGTACGAAAAAGCATCAAGATTCTAATGTCAAATTTTACAACCTTTTGTAGACGGTTCACCTTCATTTATTGATCAAAAATACTCACGTCATTTTTATCAAGTTTTAAACAGCACTCAACGATTTCTAATCGAAATTGAGAATTTGAATGCGGAAATTCGGAGGAGTAAACTCGACCTAAAAAACTTTTATTTTGCGACTTCAGACATTGAGCCACTTTACACTAATATCCCCATTGATGAAGGAGCTGCTAAAGAGTCACGGACTTCGTATTCGAAAATAAAAACGTGCGCCCCACGTTACGCAAACCTTTTTGTTTTACTAAATGAATTGAAATTCTTCGATAAATGTGATCATCTCTCACATCGGTTCTTCCGATATCTCGATGACGTTTTCATCGTATGGTACGGAGATAAGGAAGTATTTGAGAGTCTCCTTTGTTCGCTTAATTCAATTAAAGTGAATTTGAAATATAAAACAGAAATATTAGTACGAATAAAATAAACTATTTAGATGTACTAATCGAAAAGGATCTTGTACAAAGACGACTTATCACAAAGTTATACAAGAAGCCTACAGATACATTTCAATATATTCGTGCTAGTTCAGGTCACTCTGAACACATCATTAAAAATCTAGCTACAGCTTTAATCCATAGGGTTAAAAGAATATGTAATAATGAAACTGATATATGGCACAAATATGCCAGTATTGTACATCGTTTACGACGGAGAGGACACTGTCTTTCTAATATTTTGCCAAAAATCCGAAAGGTAGATAAACTTGAGAGAACGAAATTGTTGTTGAACTCCCAAATGAGAATTGTTGAAGACGAAAACAAGGAAAATAGAAAACTGATACCATTAACATATAGTGGACAGCTGCCTCAGATGAAACCTATTTTTCAACAATTTTCGAACCCGAAGACTGACTGGTCTCGTTACATATTTACGTTCAAGTATCCTTCAAACTTGCGCCGCTATCTTGTTCACTCGAATCATTTAGCACCGTTAGGTGCATTGCCTCCCGAAATCATGTTTGATTCCGCACATCGAGGTTTTACGATCTGTTCGAGAAAGTATTGCCGTTTCTGTTCATTAAGTGGAGATACTCGCATAATCACCACCAGTTGCGGTGTCGAGATCCAGATTGGACAACGATTGAGATGTGACTCCAGGAATTTGTGCTATTACATTAGATGTAAAAAATGCGATGACGAATATGTAGGACAAACTAGCATCCCGGTGAAAGAAAGATTCTATCGCCACACATCACAGATACGTATCATTCGCACCACCTCAATAGGTAAACCCTTTAGTGAGAACGGACACTCAATCAGAGACGTTTTCATTGTCCCATTTGAGGGAGGATACTTAAACGACGACCATCGTACGGCAAGAGCATCTATATGGATCAGTAAACTCAATTCTAATCTTAACATTAAATATTAGAACTGGGTATTTTTACCGGTTCAATTTTTAATCTTTTTTAAAAAAGAATTTCTTAAGAAAGATTTTTTTTAAAAAGGCATTTTTTAAAAAGAAATTTTTTAAGTTTAAAGCTTAACTAATAGATAGTCTGCCGATTGAAACCGTTCCTATAGGGCACATTGCCATTATACTTACACTTTTTTCTTATAGAATGCGAAGCTCTTCTTATGATGGGTTTCACCTGATTCTCCAAAATTAGCGATAGGTATCCCTTGAACAGCACGTGTATATACACACACCAGTTTCAATATAGACACAGACGTTTGAACGCTCTGTGAAGGATGCACATACACACAGATATATGAGCACGGTGTGACGGACGTACATACACACAGACATGCGAGCACGTAACATATGCTGTTATGTACGCTGCCGACGATGTG